GCGAAATATTTAATTTTTACGCTGTTTAGAGAAGGGGACTGAAAAGAAAACGGTTTTAAGAAAATCCTTATAAAAAATATTTTATCGGCACTGGTTGTGCACGGATGCGCATCAGTGCAAGAAAGACTAAAAATCTCGCACCGATGCGCACCAGTGCCGAAGTTTTATTTGTAATCATCATATTTTTCCACTGTATATGCATAGTTCTAAAGTAGAATTTTTCACACGCACGCTTCTTAATATTCACACATCAATAAGTAAATAGTAAAACAACCATTAACAAAATGATGCGCAGACAATGGCTAAGATTTGCAATACGAAATGTGAACTTAATGAATTTATATCAGAAAATAAAGTATTTAGATTTCGAAGTGAATCAAGTACCAAAAAGGTTTTGAAATACCACATATATTTGTACATTCTTGTATATAATGCCAGATATATATAAATCATAATTTACTATCGAACAGTTTAGCAATTAATATGTTCGTTCTCTTTACAGCCTTTTGAACTCTGAATACTGAACCGTTCTCTTTTCGGGTTTTCCATTTCATAATTCTAATCGTTCTCTAATCACTTCAGATTAGAGATGTGTAGGGCGCCCTTACCCTGCCCTACCCTGCAGAGTAGGGTAGGGCTTCGTCTAAAAGAGATATATCGTCGGTACAACATTGAGGTCGGTCGCTAGTGACAGTTATTTTAAACTCTTTATTTTATCGGATGCAAGACACCCATTTTTGGTGCAATTGGCAATATAAAAAGAACAAAGAAATAATTGTAAATGAAAAAGTTTTTAATTTTCAAAAGATAGGGTAGGGCCAGGGCTCAAAAACTTTTCACAGGATAAGCCAAGGGCTCCTTAAACAGTTACCCTGCACATCTCTACTCCAGATTTGACCATAAATCGTCAATCATTCTCATTTTTAGCTCTAACTCCATTCTCTAAAAAATCCTTGTTCTTTTTGACCCGATACAAATATTAATCATATAATTATAATTTTGAAGAGTCAGGTTGAGACTGTACCAGACCATATCTGCAGCTTAACACAGGATAATAAGAGTTAATTTGTATAACTCTTGAAACTAAATGTCATGTCTGCTTAAAAACCCCCAAAATGCTCGCTGCGTAGAATGCACTCGTCTATCTCTGTATCACTGTTTTGTTTAATCGATTTTTGAGTAAAAGTCAAGTAGAAGATAGCGTGGACAGGAGCTGATTAACTATAATTATGTTTTGTGTCATGCATTCATGAACCGGAGTAAGAGAAATTAGTAGATTGAATTAAGATTTCTACGACAGTATTATCTTCAAATACTTAGAAAAGCGCGAGAAAAGACAATACAGAACTTTATTAACTTAATTTGAGATTTTCGATGTAACAATTTTAAGATAACGTTATTTATTCGACTTACCAACAAAATCTTTGGCTATTGCTAATGGTACTACAATAACACTAACTAAACAGTCAGCAATCGATAAGGAAAATAGAAACCAATTTGTCACCGTTTGTAATTGTTTGTCTAATGTAATTGAAACACAAACGAGAACATTACCAATTGTTCCAACAATTCCCAATAATGATAAAGAGAGTACAGGCCAATTTTTTTGTGATGTTATTAACGTTAAATTATGATCAAATACTAGATCAGATGCTGCTGATGCATTATTAAATAATAAATCATTAAAGTTTTCCATACCATATCCAATGGAGATGACTGGCGTTGATTGAAATAGATGACCCATGAGTTATCAATTAGACGCATAACTAGTAGACTAAAATCAGTTTTGTCATCTTACTCTATGATAGAATGAACGAAATAATAAATTATTAAAAGCCGTTTATAATAAGTTTAATCTAAAATGAAAGATGATGGGATAATACAAAACTTTACCGAAAGATTTTTCAATGTGACTTTTTATTTCTGTTCTTTTATAATAATGATAAACTTTACTAACAATCAAATCTTCCATATTTTTTTTTTCCGTTCTTTTTCGGTGTGGTTAAACTATTCAACAAAATAGAAGAAAAATGTTTATATAATATAAAATAGAAAATACACCTTAATAACTTATATTTATTCAAATTTTAGATGATTATAAATAGATTTTGTATTCAAACCTTCAAAGTGTATGAAATTATTGAACTGAAAAATTAGGAAATTGATAAGTTTCTGTGAACAAAAACAAAACATATTTTATTTTATTTTTATATCCGTGATGAAAAACGTTTTATTATCCTAAAGTATTTGATATAAATATAAAGGTAGACTGCAAGAGAAATATTACTGCCAAAATTGTAACATTTAAGAAATATATTCTGACCGTAGATACAAGAGATGTGAATAATACATCTTTTCTTCTGATAAATTTAAGTGCAGATAAATCCTTGCTACAATATTTCAGATACAAGAAATGACAGGTCTTACAAGTCTATATGACAAGCATTCGTATAATCTTGTTGCAGGGATATGTCTTATGAAATCTTATCTATAGAAATAAGAAAGATTGTTTTTAAATAAAGTTTTGTGCAATCTTCACAGCGTTTCTGATATCTTAGGAGATTTCTTCACGTACAATTTTGCAAGATCTTGTATTTCTCGGTTCATTGAATTTAAGAGTTTTTTAGTAGTACTGATCAAGCCCTCTCCTCCAAGCTTAAAGATTAATTTTTTTTCTCGTACACGCAGAATATAAATAGAAATTTACTAGTAACAAAGAATGCCCTTAAAACAGTATTTAGCATGGAAAAAAAAGAGGAAATTAGTTTTTTTTTAAATACAAACTATTCTGTAGAAATTTTCTTTTGTTACAAGAATTCGAAAACTAAGAGCATCATCTTAAAGTAGACATTCACTAAAGCTAAAAGTATTTAGTTTTAATCTAATAGTGTCTTGATTTAAATTCAGTATTGCAAAATGAATTTAGGAAGATAAATCTCTGTCACTCACTTTCTCAATTATTTTGTAAAGAATAGAAGTGAAATGTTACATTTCTTAAAATAGATTTTTCTTCTCCCGCTCTATAATTGAAATTAATAAAGGAAAGACGATTAAAAGTAATAGATCTTTCTCTTGCGTGCGTTATTTTTGAAAAGAGTGGGAAAATACGAAGAGTCGAAGAGTAAAAAAGGTAGTGATTTTTTAGGTATTGAAATAATAAGTAGAACAGTTATATGTTTACTCTAGAAGAAAATAAGAGAGGCACATAGATAAACAGAGAACTGACGGGTAATAAAACTGTTTCCACATTAACAATTCCAATCAATCGTTGTATAGTTTCACAGTTGATATTAGCTCTGGCTAGAGAATTCTACTTTAATCTTACAACATCTCGTAGCCGAATCATTTTCCCATAAAAATTATGATGATCTATTAGAGAGCGCCGCAATAGTGTAGAATAAGTGTAATCATAGTTTGTTTAAAAAAATGAAAAGAGAAAATGAAATTCCATTAAGATTTCATTTTACGACTTGGCCACGTAACTCTACGAACACAGTGTAATTTCGGAACGTTTTTTTTTGCATTTTGTTTCTCTTATGATTTTCGAACGAAGACACGTTCATCGCTGTGCAGCATCTTAAATTGAAGAGAAAAGTGCGGTGAACGTTTGTGCTCTTTACATGTTCTGTTGTTTAGAAAAAAAACAGTAGTAGAATAAGAAAAGTAGCTCTCTGAATTTTTGTCATATGTCCTAAACGACAGAACATGTAGAGAGCAGAAACATCTTAAAACGTTCACCGCACTTTTCTCTTTAATTTAAGATGCTGCACAGTTATAAACGTGTCTTCGTTCAAAACTCATAAGAGAGTTATGTCATCAGGCCTTTTAGTTCTCGACTGCCATCCAGTGAATGTATTATTATATTGCTAAAACACGAGTAAGTGCATGATATAACCAAGTATTTTTCCATCTGATTACACAGCGCTCTAGTAAAATCTCTATGAGTTTTCCGATAGGATCCGAGACATATCCTACCAATATCCTACTAGGGTTTCGCTTAAAGTTGTTTAGAATCCTAACAAAATCCTATAAAATCCTAATGAAATCAGGTATATCCTGAAGTCATAGGATTTTCTAAGATTCTGTTAAGATCCTATACAAATTTAAGCGAAATCCTAGTAAGATTCTAACATTTTAGGATCCTGCTAGGAAGTCATCAGATGGATTCTAAATATTAGGACCCTGTAAGATCCTAATAGAAATAGGAAACAGACAGGAAGTGCGTAGGATTTTATCTCGGGCAAACTCTAATAAAAACACAAATGTCATCTTTGATATCCGTTAAAACAAATATCAAAGAAACATTTTAATGTGTTTCATGTTCACGACTATTTAACAAAATGATTTTACTTTTTTTTCGCTTTGATCAATATTTTTAGCGAGCGATTCCTTCACGGGAAAACGAATGTAGACTCTATGACAATTGATTTTTAACGTGATGAGAGAAAAATAGATGCGATTCATATTCTCTTCATTAATTAATACATCAAAAAGATTTGAATAACGTTTACTATGTGCTCTTATATTAGCCAAGATGTTCTTAATGTAGTAGATTCCAACTTGACTCAAAACAGACAATATTTTGAAAACATGTTTAATTCGATTGTAACTTGAATGAAGATGAATTAGATTGGTTAAAAAAACGTCATCGCTGGTCTGTAGAACAAAAGAAAAAAGAAATAAAACTGACCACTCTCAAACTTGGAGCGAACAAAAGTGAAGATAAAGGTGCATACCCAGCATATTGCTGGGTTCTTGTAAAAGGCATCAAAGCTGAATATTCCCAATATTTCGAATAATTTTATTGGAGCTGCTATATATATTTAATATAATTAAAAAATATTTTCATAAATCATTTTACATGTAAAATGAAACAAATTTGAAACATGTAAATGGTCTGAATACTCTCAATCTTTGCGGAAACAACATTAGAGATGAAAGGTCCCAATATATTCCTACATACTTGAAAGAAATGTCAACCTTAAATACTGAGTCTGTGTGAAAACGGCATTGGTATTGAAGGTGCGTAGCACAAAGCGCTGAATTATTGGAAATAAACGAAAAGGTACTAGAGCTGACTAATTTTAGTCTCAAACAGAACAATATTGGTTATGGAGATGCAAGGTACATTGCCCGATTCTTTGAAAAGGTACCAATGAGCACGCTTATTTATCGTAGAACTTTTTATTGTTAACATGCTCTTAACACCGGTAAACAAACAATAAAATTTCATGAAATAATACAAAGATGTCTAATAATTGTCCTTTTCGAAGTTGAACTTTATTCTTCATATACACTGTCATATTCTTTATCATTGTTCACCTAAACAGAGAATAGCAAATTAAAAAATTCACCATAACAAAAGTCTATCATGCGAATACAATGTTTTGAGAATTACAGAATATTTATAAATACTATAATTGTTGTATTAACAACTTAACGTTGTGATAACTTTAATGGCCACTATGAAACTTTTATGTCTTGAAAACGATTAAAGCTACATAACATCCATTTCTCTGTTTAATTCCATAGCCATACTACGATCCATGAGGTCATTTTTACCTTCTATTTCCGTTAAATCGTATTATTAATTTTTTCGTGCTATTTAATGCATTTGAACGCATGGAAAAGGGTTGTTCACTCACGATCATTAGTTAGATATATTGAAATTGATTTAACTCTTTTAAAAAGATATCATATGATAACTAGTTTAAAAAAAGGTTTAATGGTTCTATGTTCATAAACATATTCGTTTCCATGTGATTCGGAAGTGTAGTGTATTCTTCTAAGCGTAACTAATTTATAGCTTCAATACACACCTTAAAACGGTATCGTCCCGTTTCGTCGACTAATTAATTTTTTTCCTAACTCGTCGACAACATTGGGGCGGGGAGATGAAAGATGTCTGTGAGCCGCCAAAACGGGACTGAATCCTTAAAACTTAACCGTGTTTTTAACTACCGTGTGGGTAGTTGAACGACAAAGACAAGTGTTTTATAAAAAGATCAAACAAATAATCAACTATCAACATGTCCATAGGCTTCTAACAAACGAAAATAACTTTTATGTCACCGTATTTCTTATAAGAATAGACCAGTTTTTAAGAATCTTCTTGAATTATAAACAACTGATTCTTAACTAACTGATCTATGAAAATATATGGCACTTAGGTAGGTCATGATTCAATGTACCAAATGGCTGTCAAGCTAAAGAAATTGTCTAATTGGTGCTAATGCATGAAAATACTAAAGGGTTCTAATTTTCTTAAATACCTGACACGTTTGCACGAAAGACCGACATTTATTACGTTAAATATCTTGGAAATGAGGCTTTTATGAGTAAAAGTCGTATATAATTATTTTCAATTAGAACAATTACTCCGTAAATTTTAACAAATGCATATGATTTCTCACGTATTAACGTACTTTGGCGGCACAGAAAATTACTGTGCTCTTTCAGAAAAATAGATAAAAAGCTTTTAATATTTTTATGTGCATTATTTTTTCTTTAGTTATTTGACTCATTTAATATTTTTTAATAC